ACGCCACGACCACGCCACGTATGCCACGCCCACCACACAAGCCGGACACACGCACGCAGAGCACGCCGCCGCGACTTACAAGGGTTCAGAAACAGGTAAGGGGGACCTGTTTTAATGTTTCCTGTTCTAAAAAAAAAAAAAAGCGGCACACTGCAGAACACCAGCAGCTATAGAGGAACAACAAATCCCAGCAATAATATATTAAACACCCGGTATAATGTATTATTGCTGGGACTTGTTGTTCCTCTATAGTTGGTGGTATTCTCCATTGCGCTGTATAATGTATTATTGCTGGGATTTGTAGTTCATCTATAACTGGTCAGTGGTAATCTGCATTGCGCAGTATAATCATTATACAGCGCAATGGAGAATACCACCAGCTATAGAGGACTACAAATCCCAGCAATAATACATTATATACAGTGCAATGGAGAATAACGCCAGCTGCAGAGGACTACAAATCCCAGCAATGGTACATTATAGTACCATTAGCTCCTTTTTGTAAATGCCAGAGATCTTGGGGATGTCTCTCCGCCCACTGGTCGATGCTTACATTCACCCGCGGGGTTCAGTTTCCAATCCGTGGAGGAAACATCCAAGGTGGTTTCAAGCTTGTGCGGCCGCACGGCAAGATAAAATATGTTGGAATCCCCGCGGCGGTGTGTCCGTAATGCGGTAAAGCCGAAAGCTGAAGGAGATCGAGTGGCAACAGCCCGCTCGCACTTCTCGATCTCAGCCTAAATTGTACAGGCTAGTCAGCTGCTGCAGACCAGACAGTGTCCAGGCCGTCTTGGTTCCGTCCCTTTGATTGAGAGACAATGTAGTTTTCACTCTCACTGGCCGCGTATGGGAAGTAAGAGAGTCTGCTGCGGGTATCCAGGGAAGCTTTCGCACACGTTACGCTGACGCGTTTCCCCCCAATCACAAGGGGCTTCCTCAGAGGGGCGTGTAGTTGGTGTCTCGTGAAGGTGTATTAAATAGCCAATTAATTAGGGCTAATTTGGATCCAGATTTCACACAATCATGTCCCGGGCCATGATCCAAGGCTATTCGTTATTGCAACAAAAAGAATGCAGTATACTGGCACCTGTGAGGCCATAAATACATACATTTCCCAGGTTCATCACCCTCCCTTGTACAAACATATACATAACCCAGCATATAAAGTAAATAATAAACTTTCGTCCTGCCTACCCGTACAACACTAAATTCACCCCATAGGAGATGTGCTGGAAAGTGTATCATAAAGGGGCACTCTAAATCCAAGATCCCCCTAACAAAACGAGTTTGCATGATTCAAATCAAACATTTCCCAATAGGGTCCGGGGTATGCCGGATCATCAATGGACCGTGAGATAAGTAATAAATTCATTAATTTAATCAAATGTATCATTGTGACCTTCATCACCCTAGCGGTCTAATGGTTCTATAAAACTATGTCTATTTTTTGGGTCACGCCTTAATGACCAAGGAAACATGTGGGTCCCGAGGTTACACGGGTTGAGAACCACTGATCTATAGAACTGACATAATAGGTAACCTGGATCTATATAGATGAGTATTGTCCATTGTGAACCGGCATAATCCGGAACCTAGAGAGTCCTCCACATAGTTTGATCAGGCTATGCATATCTATTGTTCTCAACCCTGGGAAAATAACCATATAGAGAAATACAGTGTATATAAATTTTACATATAGAAACATTATGTTTGATGTACCACTTGACTTTAGAGGTAGCAACTAAAATTGATCATGTCATTCAGCCCTGGGGCCTCATGAGATTCCGTTTGATGGATCCATCTACATTCCCTTTGTAGAAGAGATTTGTCCCAATCCCCCCCACGTCTGGGTTGGTGGACCCTATCCAGGGCAAAGAAGCGAAGTCTGTCGATTTGTCCATTAGGTGTATTTACAAAATGCCTCAGTATGGGTGACCTCAGATCTCTGGCCGATATGTCGGTCAGATGATCCGAGATTCTATTCTTGAACATTCATTTTGTTTTCCCAACATAAAACATGTCGCACTTGCATAACATCAGGTAAATGACACCCTTTGTCTCGCGATTTTACATAGTTACATAGTATTTGAGGTTGAATAAAGACATATGTCCATCAAGTCCAACCCATTGTGTGTGTGTGTGGGTGTAAAGATCCTCGCGTCATCTCGTTTTTAGGAGTACTTGTACCCCTGTATATTACCGTTTCTCAGGAAATCGTCCAAAAGCCTCTTGAATGATTCCAGACTATTAGCTGAAATCACTGCTTGCGGCAGTGAGTTCCAGACCCTAACCGCGCGAACTGAGAAGAATCCCCTACGCCCCTTGTGTTTGAATTTTTTTTCTACCAGTTTTAGGTGGTGTCCTCTAGTCTTTGTTACGGAATTAATCGTAAAGAGTTTGTTGCTAATGTTGCTATGACTATGGAACATTTTGTACGTGAAAATCATGTCCCCCCTTAATCTCCTTAGTTCCAGCGTGAACATATTTAAATTTAGTAACCGTGTCTCATAGCTCTGGTCCTCCATCCCTTTGATGAGTTTGGTCGCCCTTCGCTGGACTTTCTCCAGTTCAAGGACATCCCCTCTGTGTACCGGTGCCCAAAACTGCACCGCATACTCCAGGTGAGGCCGAACCAGTGCTGTGTAGAGTGGCAATATTATAGACTTATCCCTGCAAGACATTCCCTTCTTGATGCAGGACAGAACTCTACTAGCTTTGCTTACCGCAACCTGGCA